ATGGAAAGTTAAGGGCACTAATAAAAACCATTATTTAATATGCCTCAGGCAACTAAGTTTAAGTTTATTTCACTGAGTGAATAATAACTTCTTACATAACTGAAATTTGGTGATTCAAACTAAAATGAAGGGTCATTTTTACTGAGTTAAAATGAAATAAATGATTCTACTTTTCTGAATATGAAATGGCAACCTATTTTTTTTCTCACAAGCTATCACCTCCTCCACCCCCATAATACTCCCATCTGCAAATGTTTCTGAGCTTACCAAGAGTGCAATTTAAAGCAGGCAATCATTAATAAAACCAACTCTAAATACTAATTAGTGACACTTTATCAATTTCCATGTAAATTGTTTGTTTGTACTTATTTACTCATCATTGTTCTCTATACAATAGAAAAAAATGCAAATGAACAAATCAGAATGTAGCCCTAATGGGACTTTCTGTTTATAACCATTAGCCCAGAGGTGTGCTGTAATTCAATTCTCAAGTAGCAAGATTTAGCCTCATTAACAGACTGCAAGGGCAGGTTACAACTCATAAAAGCCTACAGTAAACAAAGTTTATGGACACAGCACAAAATCTTGAGCCTGATTGACAGAATTCTAGTTCCCTATCAGATTGTCTTAATTTACTTTTCTACTAATGTCCTAACACCACAGAGACAATTTTGCTTGGGCCTGGAGCTCTCCAGTGGGATGACATATCTGTGTTGTTTGTTTTCTCACCCTTTAACTTCCCCTAAGACAAAAAACCAACTGAGAAAATAAAAGTTAATTGTTAAGGTCATGAAGGAAAAGCTTGTAATTATAGTAATTGATTATGCTACCAATATTAGTTTAATTGATAGCACTAATTTTCAGTTTATTGGTCTTCAGGTTTATCATTAAGTAAAACTAGTTCATTTTAATTTTTACATGTAGGCTCCATTAAAAGTTTTTGTAGTAATATGGAAAGAACAGACAGCAATAAAATCTGTGCTTTTTTTTTTTTAACTCAAAATAGCCATATTGTTTATGTATAAGGATAAAATGACCAGAGAGTAGGGAAAATGATTATCTTATTATTTTTGTACAGCATTCAGCACAAACTGCTCAAATACGTACATAAAATTTCTGAAAATGAGTTTGCCTAAACCTAAGAAAAGAAATGTGTTTTTGATATCGGCTTTGACCACTGTACATTCAAAAAAAGACAGTGACTCATAGCTGTAAATAAATCATGTTCACCATGTGTGCTGGAAAAAAGTCCTTTCACTGAGTTGCAGAGGCAAAGCAACTTAGAAGTCTGCTGTAACTTAAAAGATAAGTATGCTTTAAAAGTCCAATACATAGGAAACCCATATATACTTCATTTACTTATGTAGTCTAGATAGACTTAAATAAATTGAAGTAGTTAGGCTTCCTGTTTCTAAGAATGGGTCTCATGACATTCACCTTTTCCTATATGGCATTATTCAGAGTCAGAGTGAGTTATAAAGGATAATCTAGCTTTTGTAAGATGGATGTGTACTCTTTGGAGGGTTTGATAGAAATCATATTTTTGGGAGTTCTCCCTCCGCATGACTATCTTTTTACAATCTGTAACAAATTTTTGAGTAAATACTAGTTCTGTGTCCTGTGTGCTCACACATGTATATGTGTTGTCTCATTTACTCCTCACAACTCTGTGAGATAGCTGCTACCATTACAATTTGATAAAAACTGATTCTCGCTTAAATATACTACCCAGTGTCATACATCTTGTAGACAGCATAGTAAGAATTAAATTCAGTGTCTGTTGGATATCAAAGCACTGGCCCTATCTATTACATAACTGCTATCCAGAGCATTTTTCTGAGACCCTACAGTTATTATGATTTTTTAAAGTCCCAGTTCTTTATATACACTTGGGCTGTATAAATCAGTTTAAATTTCCCTTTATGTCACTGAATACAGAGAGATGAAGAGCAACTAATTTGTTTACATTGATTTAAAACTTAGGTTCCCAACCTTAAATTATAAGCCTTTAGAAAAGGGATAAATGTATTTAAGGTTTGCATTTCTCTTTGCTAACATCTTCAGGAAAAGGTAAGAGTCCTGTTATGGTGAAAAAAGAGCCCTATTTCAAGCCAATGGATTTAAAATATTCAAATACAGAAGTTGGATCAGAACTAACCACTTTGGACATAAACTTAAAATAATATTTAGCCCTTTCACAGCATGTCTTCAAGTTACTATTTTTCTTATCATTCTGAAATGGTCTACAATCTGCCATAGATAGATGCACTAGTAAAACTTGACAATTTAAGGACAAACTCTTCAAGAATAAGTAATGTAATTCCTTGTTTCCTTTCCATAAAAATGTATTGGTATGCAATTTTTATATTTCACAGTTCACCGACATCTAGGCAAGCTTTCTTCCACTGCTTCAATGGTGCTACTTTTAATTTTATCCTCCTTAGTCGTAGTAATTAAAGTGATCAGCAGTGGCATCCCAGCGGCTTTGACACAGCTACAACCCCCTAGCAGACTTTTGCTTTTAAGGGGAAGGGGAAGAAAAAGACTGGAGTTTCATTTCACAGAGAACAAGAAAATCAACCTTCTCCAATCCCCAACTTTATTCAATTGTTCTTTCAGCAGCCTTTGGATCTTAAGAATCAAATAAAAATGGCTGCCATAGGGGGTCCTTTTTATACTTGCCGCAAATGTCACCAATTGACATTACTTTAGCCAAAAAAATGATGCCATGGATTTGTGAAGGTGAATTAGAACATGAGAAAGTGTCAGTGTAGCTGCTGAGATCATTACCCACCCAAGGGTATCTTTCATAATATTAGATATTTTTAATCAATCTGCTGAAAAATACAGATTGAGAAGTCTTTCTATTTAAGGACTATGCCTACACACATTTTCATGAAATAAGCTTTAACAAAACTTTAAAAACATATTATTTCAGATAATGTAGTTTGTATCCATACTCTTTGTAAAAATGTTTGTAACATAAAAAAGCACTCTATTTCTACCAAAAAAACCCCCACATTTCATCTTTTATCTCCCTTAAGAACATCCTGCGCCTATTTGCGTTGTCTTTGGTGTTTCATATAGTCTTAGTAATTGAACTTTAATTGAGCTAAATAAATTTTAACCTATCAAATTTTTTTTTAAAGTTTATTTAGTGCTGCTAACATTTCACAGTGTTCTGTTCTCAAAATGGTCCTGAAATTCCTCAATTTTGTAGTAAACTAAAAGAATTTGACTGTCACTCTTTCATCATTAGACAGGATGCAAGGCTCTGTTATTAGGCATTCAGAATGTACCAAAAAAAAAAAAAAAAAAAAGAAAAGAAAAGAAAAAAAAAGAATTCTCTGTCCAGAGGCAAGGATTACCAAAGTGTACCTACTCATTTACTATGAAAGATAGAATTAAATAAAAAATAAAATCACAAGATTTTTAAAAATTTAGGTAGGCTAGATATTTTACTGCCAGCTTGATCAGCTCTTGACTGAATAAATAGGATTTAGGGTGAAACATGAAAACTGTTTAGCAGATCTTTTCAACCTATTTCAAACTTTTCTTATGCTGGTTTGTAATATAAGCAGACATGCTTATAAATGGCCACACCTGCTCATTTCTCTGGGGATGGCCTGATCTCTGCTTCTCTAACAAAGAAAGAAAGAAAAAAAAATCAGCCTTTCTTGTTGCAAAACAGAGTGGAAAGTCAAAATCTTTCTCAAGTTTGCCCCATCTGGTCAGATTAAATCTTTGATCAACCCTGGGGATTACATTTATTTTTGTAGTAACTACTAAATTTTGGGTTTAAGATACATAGGTAAAATAGCAAACAGAATATGAATTTAAATTTAAGATACAGTTTTTAATACATGAGTAGAAAATATAAAAGGACTAATTCAGAAAAATAGACACATTTTAAGAATTTAGATTTCATTTAATGTATTTTAATTCATGAAACTGAATATATCATACTCTAGTTTTTAAAATATATCTCTTTGTTTCAAGATACAGCAAGTATTCTTTTTAATTATAGCATTTGTTTTGCAGTGTTATACCATGGTATACAAATAAAGAATTCTAAACATAAAAGAGCACATGATCAAGTTAATGTTGATAAATGAGCCTTTCCTTTAAGTATCTGGAAGCATTCTGGGATAGGAAGCTTTATATTCTATATAAATAATCATTTTCTTTCATTCATTTACTTAATACATATAAATTCCTAGTAGATACCATATTTCTCCAAAAATAATTATTTTAGAACTATAAAATAAATTATTTTGTTTTTGAAAACTTCAAATTGCATTAGTAGAACAGATATAGTTTGAGGCTCCAAAAAAAGAACTCTTTGATAATTTAATTCCTCTTTTCTTTGTGAAATTGATAACTTCTTAGTTTAAAAAAATTATAAGAAAAAAAGAAGAATGGCTGACTAAGTAAGTATCACCTTGTGTTACATCCAAGGCCTCTTGCTGGTTGTCTGGCTGCTCTTTTGTAGGCAAAAAGGAGCTGAACGCTCTCTGGCTCCTTAGATCTGGCCCAACAAATGCACTGCCAGTCATGCACATGGATCTAGCTTAAAACCCAGTGTGAGCCTAAAAGAAGCCAGTCAGACTGGCACCTACTCATGCAGAAGGAGATAGATTTGTCATGACAGGCTGATTATTCAATGTAAAGAAACAGTTTAGCTTTTCTAATCTGGTACAAATACATCTTTCTCAGCAAAAAAGTAGAAGGTCTAACAGTTCAAGTATTTAAAGTAAAGAAACCAAAAAAAAAAGTAACGGCAAAGTAAACCATAGGTATTTGTGTTAAAGTATTCTGCAAAACTGTCCTGCAGTTCCATTCAGATAAATAAGACTTAACCCTTCAGAAGCATGACATCTATGTATCATATTAAAAGAAAATATTACTATTTTATATTGTGATTTTTTTCACTAGAAAAACCTCTAAGAATCCAAATTCATCTTCTCTCTTGCCTCTTTCTGTATATGTATATACAGATA